TCGTTCGCATGCCTTCCCCCCACCCATTTCGGCACACCCCTCACACGTTTTCGTGGCCCCAGAGGAGCTCCACGAAGGCCCCAGTGGCTGCGTTCGCATGCCTCCCCACCACCATTCGGCACACCCCTCACACGTTCCGTGGCCCCATAGGGAGCTCCACCGAAGGCCCCAGTGGCTGCGTTCGCATGCCTCCCACCACCCATTTCGGCACACCCCTCACACGTTTCGTGGCCCCATAGGGAGCTCCACCGAAGGCCCCAGTGGCAGGGTTCGCATGCCTCCCCACCACCAATCTCGGCACACCCCTCACACGTTTCGTGGCCCCATAGGGAGCTCCACCGAAGGCCCCAGTGTGCGTTGCATTGCCAGTCACCACCCAGGCGGCACACCCCTCACACGCTTCGTGGCCCATAGGGGAGCTCACTGAAGGCCCCAGTGGCGTGTTCCGCATGCCTCCCCACCACCCATTTCGGCACACCCTTCACACGTTTCGTGGCCCCATAGGGAGCTCCACCGAAGGCCCCTGTGGCGCGGTGCCTATGAGAAGAGGGGCCTAGTTTGCGTGCCCCCTCCTTCGTCTCATATCCGTGCGGTACTAGCAGCTGCATAATATGGTTGGGTCCTTCGCCAGGCTAATTTTACAGCCGCAGGCGGAAGCGCCGGCGGCGAGCAGTCACGGTCGGGCTGCGGCCGCGACTAAATTCCCGGGCGCGCGCGGGGGCCGCGGATCAGGCGGCGGGGGGGGCAGCAACCCAGGGCGTCTGAGAGGCCAGGCGGACGTGCAATCCCAGGGAGTCTGAAAGGACAGCCACCTGAGAGGTCGTGCAAGCTGCGACCCAGGGAGTCTGAGAGGACAGCCCTCAGGGCGAGCCAGGCGCAGCCAAAATGGCGCGCAGTAAGTTCCGGGCCGCGATCGTGTCGAGACAACCGCATGGCAGGGAACGGTCTCCGTGCGAGAAGTCCATCCAGGGAGTCTGACGGGTATGAGCAGACAGAAACTGGTGACGTCGTCCAGCAGGAGATGGATTCTGACAGCGCCAGCGAACCGTCGCAGCATCAGAAAGCGCATCCTCGCAAGGGGAAGTCAAAGACGGAGAAGTCAACGCCAGACCCGACCGCTGCTGAGCGATGCGCTTGCGTGGCTGGATGTGACACGCGAAGCGTCAATAATTTCAAGACGCCTCCTTCTCGATCTTTCCTCCACCATCCTCCCTCCTCCTACCTTCTCCGACCGCCTTCAGACCCTCCGCCCCCTCCTCCCTCCTCCTTCTTCCAAACCCTCTTGTTATTCCTCCTTCTCCGACCTCTTCCCCCTCCCTCCCAAACTTTGTCCTCCTTCCCGCCTCATATCTCGTCTATCTTCTTCCTGTCCGTCCAAGTCCCTGCCTTGTGTTGCTCCCATCGTACTGAAGGACTACATCCCAGAAATAATTTCGAGCACCTGGAAAAGTGTCGAAAGAGTGTCGAAGCAGTGTCGGACGAATGTCTCCCAGGTCCCAACACGTGAAAACCATCGAATTCGGGTACTTGTTTTGGTGCTCGAAACTCTTCCTGGTGATCAAGGCTAAAGTAGGTTGGAACATCATAATCCCTGCCCCCCCCTCCTGAGCGTAACCTCCCGTGGACCTCCCCATATCATTAGCCTCATCGCGGAAAAATCGTGGATGGCCCCCACTGGAGCGGACAAGACGTCGAGGCGTCGAGGCATCATGGCTCCGGGTGCAAGTCGGCGGTACAGACAACGCGGGCTGGGAGCATAGGGGGAAGGATGTGCGTGCGCGGGCGGGAGGAAGTGGGAGGAGAGGATGGAGGAGGGGCGAGGACGAAGGGGATGAGAGAGAGGTGGAGGAGCGAGGAGAAAGGATGACGGAGGAAGAGCAGAGGGACAAGAAGAACGCAGGGGACGGCAAGGAGGGGCAGAACGAGGAAGCTGGACGGGGTGGGAGGACAAGGGAGGACGGTGCAAGACGAAGAGATCGCGCAATGGCTTGGACACGCATGTGGGTGCGGGTGCGGATGTATGCGTGTCAACAGACGGACGCCAACTGGGATATCCGAACCCCGAACCTCATGATAATCCCCCCTCCATTCTCATCCCCCTCCAACTCCTGCATAGCCCTCCTCCTCTTCCTCAGAATAAGTATCCGTCCCTCTCCTCCTCCTCAATGGCAAACGAAAAGATGAGCGACCGGTCGAAATGTGCGTAGGGGGGAGCGAACCAGGGCGGGGGCAAGATGAGCCTCTTGGGGGGAGGAGAGGACGGAAGCGGAGAAGAACAGGGGCGGGGGGGAGGGAGGAGGGGACAAGAGGAGAAATGCGAGGGGGGGGGAGGACCAGGAGCATGAAGAGGGAGGAACAGGAGGAGGTTGAGTTGGCGACTGGAGAGGGGGAGGATTCGGCGTCGTGGGAGAGGTGTAAGCGAGGGAGGAGCAGGAGCGGGCGGAGGAATGGGCGAAAGAGGAGGGTGAGCGAAGGAGGAGGCGGAGGCGAGGCAAGATGGGTAGGGGAAGGGCGATGAGAAGGACGAGAAGCGGGGAAGGACGAGAAGCGGGGGTGGTGAGATTGAGGATTCTACGGGGAATGTCGACCCCTATCCCAGGCTTCGTGGGGGTTCCGAACGGATCAAACGTTTGGGGCCCAACTCGGGGATTTACGACAGGGGGTGGCCATCCATCCTCGATAGAGGTGATTCCGAATAGCCCCCTGGGAGTGCATCCCAGAGTTCCCCCCCCCTCTCTGAACGGCCAAACTACTCTGGCGGAACTTGGGCATTGAGGAAGAAAAATCGCCTGCGAGTGAATGGTCAAATGATGTTGAGGACAGGGAAAATGCGGAGCAGCAAACGGTACCGAGAAGGAGGAAGAGGAGGACCAGGATGGAGCTATTCTCGAGAGGTTCGCGCAAGCTGGCCCGGGGGGCTGGGAGATCACTTGAGCACCTGGACTGGTGTATCCGCTGCCTCCCCCCTTCCGGGACCACCTGGCTGCGAAGGACAACTTCCCGATCCACAGGGCAACCCTTCAACTTATAAATGCACTTTTGGAAATTCGTGACGTATCGAAATCCTCTGATTTCTTCGACGCAACAGTCACACGTTCTGCCGAACTCAGAAAAAAAGAGTTTGCACCAAAGGATCGCGACAATTCTGGTCAACGTCCAGATGACTAGAATGGTATCGCCCAAGCTGCCGGGACCAAGCGGTGGGAGGTCATTTCAATGGGTCTAGGTAGTGGGCGCCACACGGCTCAGGCTAACTCGCAGAGGCTTCAGACATTTGTCAGTGTGCTGACATTTCGGTAAACGATGTATATATAGGGTCCAGGCCACATCATCTAAAACATCCATGGGTCCTGCCAATCAGGTCCCGAGCAGAAAACTCCGCTCAGACGGTCCCCCCCATACGGTTCCGTCGAACAAATCACACGTATGGGTCATGGCCAGTGGCTGCACCCCAGAAATTGCACCTAATATATTCGCCTGGGC